GGAGACTGTGAGTTCTAGTCCCACCTAGGCACAAAGCCAGCTGGGTGACCTTGGGCCAATCACTTTCTCTCAACCCTAGAAAGGAGGCAATGGCAAACTACTTCTGAAAAACCAAGAAAACTGCAGGGACTTGTCCAGGCAGTCTCTGAGAATTGGACATGATTGAACAGAACTTTTTTTTTTAAATGAAAGGACTGCAATTCCCAGAATTCCAAGGACCCAAGACTGGGAAAGACTGGTGAAGAGTAATACAACTCAGCTGAGAAGAGGGTTCCAAGACAGTCAGGGACAAAAAGATTATTTTTTCAGCTTGGACCTGTCACCCTTCAGGTTTGATGGGAACGAAGTTCAGAATTTGCAGTCAGTAAAGACACACTGGGAATTCTAGGAACAGAGTCCTTCCCCTTCCCATTTCCCACTTTGAGTTTTAAGATTGCCAATTATGGGTATCCGCAGTTATGAGGAACCTGAGTCTAAATCACTGTACTCTTTCTTTGAAAAAGCTGCTAACAACTACTATGAATGTTTGCAGAACCCATCAGGTCCTCAGTACTGAGATAGCCACACTCTTAGTTCATGCTCTAGTTGTGTCATTCTTGGATTATTGTAGTAGTCTGTTGGCTGGGTTACCAGAGACCTCACTCCACCTTTGATTGCCTCCAGAATGCTGATGTTCATAACATTCAGGATTTTCCTTATTTTACTGCTACAGCTAGGATCTATTCATATTAGAATAGACACCTCCAGGTTAAGAGCTTTTTCTCACGGGGATCTGATTCATTGGAATGGACTCCCATCAGGATTATACTTGGAATCCAATTACCTAAAGCTTAAAAAAAGCACTAAAAACGCTTCTTTGTCATGGGCCCCTGTGAAATTGCTTTAAAATAAACAAATTCTTAGATGTCATTTTGAATGTATAGAAGTTAATGTTATTGTATGTCACGGACCTTTTAGTTTAGGAACTCTTAATGATTTTATAATTTATTGTAATATAGTATTGTACCAATTGTTACTTTATTCTGCACTTAGATATAAGTGCATCATAAAAGTACTACTACTTATCTAGAGAGTGCCAAGTTGTGAAAGGCTGAAATAAGCTTATGTGAACTGAAATTCTATGAAAGACATAGCTTTGAGCAGTAAAAGATAAAAAGGAAGAAAAACAGCAATCCATGTGGTTCATCTCAGCCAAAAGACAGAAAAAAAATTGCCTTTTTTGCAGGAGAAGAAATGCTCTGTGGGATAGAGGCTGCTGAGATTGCAGGACTGAGGTCACAGGCAGCATAAACCATGGTTATGTAAAACATTCAAACACCAGCAATTATTTTCTTTATTTCACTAAATGAAATGTTAGCCATTCATTATTAGCAAAAGCCAGTTAAGCACAATTCAACGAGGTGATGTTACATTAAATGGAGTCCAGTGAAACATCTAATGAAATCAAAAGTAATTTAATTTCAGCACAGTCCTTGATAGAACACCTAATTTTAAGTTTATTTTAAGAATAACGTAGTGATCAAGTTTTGTTGACTGAAATTGCAATCATGGACACCTTCCTGGGAACAGCATACCCCAGGAACCACAGTGGGACACATTTTTAATAAACATGTATAGAATGTTGTGATTTTTTATCAACAGGACAATCAGAAAGGTAAAGAATACCTATATAACATTATGAATCCAGAAAGTTCAAAATATGTATGTCGTTTAGTCGGTCCTATCAGTTCTCCTCACTTTCTCAAAATTCTGACATATTTTAATAGGTTCAAACATCTAGTATTGAAGAATATACAGTAGGTGCAAGCATGATTTTCCCTGAATGGGGAGATAGTCTAGCCCTTTTATTAGAGTCAGTGATCTATAGGGGGAGCTCTCCCTTCACACTGCAAAGCTAATCCAAAGATTTGATTAGTCTGGCTGAAAACCCAGCAAACTCCAGATTCAGCAAGCTTCTCTCATAGTGCAACAGATACTACATTAGTAATCAAAACTGTGGACCTTTCAGAGACGGCTATTAAGCAGTCATCAACTGGGCAAAAAACTGGACAAAAAAGAACAACAGTCCACTTAATGTTCAAAGACAAAGAGGAAGCAATTACCTGTTTCTCAAGACTGTCACTAAAACTGGGAAATAATTTAGCTGACAAACTGTCTGAATAACTGGGTGAAAGACCAACAGCTAAGAGGACATGTCCCAAAACACAATGCCTATCTTTTCCCTTGAATAATATTAATGCAAGAACAGAAGGGTATTTGCAGGAAACAGTTGGTAGGAGCTCACTTGCATAGACTGCCCCACAACTGAAGCCCTAGCAGTATCTCAAGGAAATTTTGAGTTCTCCCTCTGGTGCCAACATCCCCATACTTTTATGGAAGAAGATGCATGCAGGCCATGAATGTTGCTGTTTCACCTGTTGTTATTAACTACATGTTACACAGACTTATCATCTAATAAGCCCTCCTGTCTTTGGTCATGGGGATGTATAGGCACACACTTGGAAGGGCTGAGTTCAAGGGAAATTGAAAACGTTAAAATGTTCGTGGTTAATCCTTTTCTTCATGTTTTGGACATAAAAGACGGTTACAATCCTATGCACTGTTGACCATGAAGACAGGGAGATGCTTTTCTAAGATGCGAAGGACTGCGAGCACACTGTAATCATCTGGGCATGGAATACAAAGGAGCCTTTAGATTTATTAGCAGGAGCATCCTAACCACCTGTGCATGCATTTCAAAGGGGTTAGGTCTCCCGGGCACAGTACCTTATTCCATTTCTCATCCCTTAATTACTGGCACTTAAAAGCTTAATTGATTCCTCTTTAAAGCACCGTGGCTGAAGGGATGCCAAGAAAGAAGTTTTTAAGGCCGGGGTACAAAACTGCAGTCTGACTTATTTATGCGGTTATGCTGTTGCTTGGTATTGCAATACCATTGCAAGGTTTCCTGGAGGAGGTTTGAGAGCTAAATGACAAGAGTGGGGATGGTCTCAAAGGCAGCAGAAAATAATCCTGCAGCTGCAGTGTCCTCTTGGTTTTGGCTCCTAACTTCTGTATATCCTTCTTCACAGGCTAAAAGGAGAAACTTACTTTAGGCCAGTCCCTGGGAAAGCCTATTCGTCAGTTAAGAAGGGATTCAGGCTGCAGCCGCAAGGACGCCAATGGAAGGCCCCTCAAAATTGAATGTGGGAAGGGAGCGTGGTAGGCGGGGAGGTCCCAGTCTGACGCCAGGAGCAGCCCCATCGCCCGCTTGCTTTGCCTTGAAGCTCTCCAAAAAGTAGCCACGGGCCAGAAGGGAGACGTCGCTAATTTCCAACGGGAAGGAAGGAAGGAAGGGCGGGCGCGCGGGCGGCCTAAGCTCGCTGTGTGGTTCTTGGACGTGAATGAGGGAGGTGGGCGAGACCGCCCTTAGCGACTCCCTGCGCGGCGGCCAAGGCAGGCGGAAGGGAGAGAGGGCTCGCCGGCTCCAGTTCCACATCCTTCCCCGCGAGGGCTGGAGGAGGAGCAACAACCGCGGCAGCAACGGGCCGCTCGCACATGCAGCAGCTCCGGCGCCGCCTCCAGTCGGGACCTGCTGCTGGCGCCGCTCTCCTCCGCTCCCTTTCGCGTCC